GGGGGGGGGGATATCATACAGATGCGGTTAGGACAGTACAGGGGGCTTTGGGTGGGGTGCCCAAATGACCAGGAATGACCGAAGGAACACCCATCTCCTATTTGCCTCAGTTCTTCTGGCAGCGATAGCTCAAGGTCCATGTATCTGGTTCTCGGGATGGAAACCTCCAAGACGCTAGGCGGCCCCAGGGACAGCGTGGCCTGGGTGCTCACTAAGAGTCAAGGACCCAGAGGAAGATCTCCATATCTCTCGTTTCAGGTACACAGACTGAATGGTGGCTACTACATGACCCCCTGCTGTTTCCCACAGTTCAGGACTGATATTCTCTTCTGCCAAGTTTCACTGAGCGCTTTGTTTGTGTATAAATACATGTCTGTGAACGTGTTTACACTGCAGATTGCACGATTGAGGAGGAGCTTCACAGGTATACTGGGCTTCCTGTAGAAGAAGGACCTTGACCTACTGGGAGAAATGAGTATGGAGATGGAGGCCCTGCCTTCTTAGACCTCCTGCTCCAGGAAGCCCCTCCCTGCTCATGTCCAGCCATGGGCTATGGTGTGAGGTCAGAGGCACTGGCAATGGACTGGACTCTGGGCCAGTAGATGCTGGTAGAACTAGGACTCTGTTTTGTGTTGGTGTCCCATTCTGGCCCCGAGTAGTGTGTGAGCCTCTGTTTTCCCCGCCCCCTTCGTTACTTTTCTTCCTCCACAGTGCCCTGGCTGTGTGATGGGGTCGTGATGCACTTTATCTCCTTGCTGTCTGTATTGCAAGCAGCAGAAGGAACTTCAATCAGCTCAGAGACTGGACCCGGATGGCCACACATTTCCATGTGTGATGAACTCTGTGCTGCCAGCACTGTCTGGTCAGAGATGCCATTTCTGATGTTGCCACATGTTGTTCTCTCTCAAATTTAAAAGAAAATCTTTGAGTTCAGTACACCAAATAATTCCTGGATGCCTCCTGTTTTTCTAGGGTGCCATACCGTACCTAGTGTGGGGAAGTGGGTGGGGTGCGGGACAGCATGCTCCAAGCCCAGCAGGGAGCATCCAGAGAGTTGAGCAGGGAAACTGCAGCTTCAGAGCCTCCTCCTAGACCACCCTTGACAGAACCACCACCCTCTGCTCCCCCCACACCAAGTGGGTAACAGTAGAGCCAGGCCCAGAATGTTCCAGTTGTTCTCATTCAGTGTTCAGAGAAAGAAGCTGAAGCAGAGGCTTCTCTTTCATTCCAGGGTCTGGACTCAATGTGTTTAATTCAAATAGAGCCTGAAGAGAAAGGGAAAATGCAAGAATGTTCTGCAGACCACTCTGTGCAGCCCAGTGATCCGTTTGCAGGAGCAGGTAGGTGGTAAAGTCCTTACTGCTATCTGGCCGGGAGCATGCGAGGAACTCATGACAAAATGAACCACCTGCCACAAGCTGGGGCTGGATGCCTGCTTTTCTCTC